CTATAGCCTATAAGTTTTGCCCCCACAAAACCTGGATCTGCTTCAACCCAATTTAATCACTCTTCCACATTTAATAGATAAGGAAGTGATTCCAAGTGATAGATAAGCTGTGATTCCCAGCTTGCATATACCATATAGTTCATATATGGTTCACACCTGTAACTATATATGATACAGTTCACAGTGGTTCACACCTGTAACTATATATGATATAGTTCACAGCAGTACTGAACTAAACCCTAGGTCTCTTGACTTTCTGTCCAGTGCTATTTCTATTACCCTACATTATCTTACTTTTGACACAAGTATCTCAAAATCAAAGATCTTCACTGGAAAAAAAAAAAAAAAGACAAATAAAAAAAATCTCCTGGCAACAGTATATAATAATAGAATTTACATGGCATTTCTTATAAACTAGGCATTGTTTTAAAGTGTTTTATGTAGAATTCATTTAATCTTCAAAAAACTCTATGACAAAGCTAATCTTAATATTTTCATTTCTGCAGATGACAAACACTGAGATGCAGAAAAGTTAAGTAACTAGACCAAGGTCACACAGTATGTGGAAAGTATAACATCTTTTATATTGTGTCAGCTCACAGCAAGCATTTATTTAGGGCTTACAATGTTTCTGTTACTTTGCTGAGCAACTATAATGCATTATTTCAGTCCATCTTTACAATTGCCCTTTGAGTTAGGTAGCATTATTACTCCATCTTACAGATGACCAGATTGAAAGCATAGAGAAATTTACTAATTTTCCTGAAGTCATACATTTAGTAAGAGGCAAAGTCAATGCTCAAATTTCTGTCTAACTCCAGAGCCAGGGCTTCCAGCCTCTATGTGATACTGCCCATCAAATAAAACACTGTCAGTGCATCAGGCCTGGCTTCCTTGCTCTTCCAATATTGCCACATTTGCTGTGGCTCCTTTATCCTAAAGCAACAATTAGAATAGGGATTTGAGCAGAATGAGGATAAGAAGTGGAGTTAGCAGGCTAAAGGACATAGTAGCCCCTTCTTAGTTAGATAATTGTGCTCCCCATTGTGAGATATATATACCTACTATATATACTGTATATATGTGTGTGTGTGTGTATATATATATAAGTTCATTTTCACACTGCTGATAAAGACATACCTGAAACTGGGAATAAAAAAGTGTAATTGGACTTACAGTTCCACATGGTTGGGGAGGCCTCAGAATCATGGTGGTGGCAAGAGAAAGATGGGGAAAAAGCAAAAGTGGAAACCCCTGATAAACCTATCAGATCTCATGAGACTTACTCACTATCAGGAGAATAGCATGGGGAAGACCAGCCCCCATGATTCAATTACCTTCCACTGGGTCCCTACCACAACTCGTAGGAATTCTGGGAGATACAATTCAAGTTGAGATTTGGGTGGGGACACAGCCAAACCATATCAATATACATATATATATACATATTTTTAGGGTACCTGACATCATCATACATCACAATATTGCTTGCATGTGACCCCTTTCCTTAGCTTTTGTTAAAGAGATGACAAATTTATTTTTAATTAATGTTCTCTGATTAAGTTAACAGTGATAACTAACAGATCAGTAATTTAGATGCTGGAGAAGGTTTATAGAGGTCGCAAATTCAAATCCCTACAAAGAGCAAGAAGATAATGTAAATAAAATGACAAAAATGTAACCCCTAGGGAGTGGCAGGGACCTTAGTAAACAGAAGAGTGTATGTCCAAACCAAATAATAGGCCATTTGGGAATATAAGCCCAGTGTGACCAGATCTGACAATCTTTCTAAAGAAAATGGAAATCTAGATTTTTGGTTTTAAAAAAAATCCTAAATTGTGAATATTTGAAAGCAATTCAAAACTTTTTTTTAAAAGCGTCATGCTGGCTGACTGTGCAAGCCAAACAAATAAACCACACACCCTTCACATCTGTAGGCCTTTTGTAGTCTGCTTTATAGTGGGGTTAAATAAAGAACACTCTGATCTGAAATGTTAGAAAAGAAAACTGATAGGAATTTGGGTACTGATGGAATATTTGTGTTTTGAAAAATGAGCTTCGATAAGAATAATCTCAGTGGAGGTGGGTGATTGAAGAGGTGGAATGGGGTGGGAACTAAAGTAGTGGCCTTTTTGAGAACAGATTCTCTTATTTCTCCTTTGGAGTAGTATTGGTCTCGGGCCTTAGGAAAAAATAGCAGGAATCTAATTAACAGCTCTAAGGGAGCAATCAATTTACAATTGTGTGAAGTGTAAATTCCTTTGTGCAAGAAACAAATTACAGTATTTGCAAATGTGTAAATAATGCAGCACTGTCTGAGCAATCCAAATGCTTTGGGTGTGCCCTTGAGAAAGAAAAAGAAGCTTGAAGAGACAAAATGTTAGAAAATGACCTATTGTCTCAAGAAATGGAATTTTAAAATTATCTTTAGTAACTGATTTTTCTCAATTAACTCCTTATTTTGAAACTATAGAGGAACTCAGTTCTTTGGTCAATAGAATGAGAATATCTAAAGAAGTAAACAATTTCAAGTCCAAAGTCACAGCATATTATTAAAAGGGTAACTTCAATCAAATGTGCTAAACACAAAAATTTTCCTTCAACCCTTCCTACAGCTCTGGTTTGTGGCAATAACTTTCATTTCATAAAAGAGAGAATGATGCCCAACCCATAATAGTTAATACTTTCAATGTCAGAGAAAGATTGGTGACAGGTAAGAACATGAACCTAATCTCTCTGCTTCAAAGCAGTGGATTTTTTTGAACAATTCAATTCACATTTATTGGGGTGCTTTTATAGAGAGCAAAACTCATTACTTTCTATAATATTTTTTTGAGTACTTCCCTATTGCTTGAGCTAGGAGCCAAGGATACAAAGTAAATGTTACTCTATCCCTGCCTTCAAGGGGTTTGAAGTCTAATGAGAAAACAGGATTTAAACCTATCATTTGCATAGTAAGCTTTTTGGTAAAGAAGAGGTATAGAGGGGCAATATGGATGTTTGGACAAGTGCTTGATTCAGGAAATGTTTCAACAGGAGAAGATATTCACCAGGCCGAAGGAAGAAGGGAACGGGATTAAGTTAGAGGTAAGTGGAATACTGATGGACCTTATGCAGAATGATAGCTTTAAATGATTGCTCTCACCTGTGTTCTTATTCAAATCTTTCCACAAAATATTTTAGCAAGTTGCACCAGGAGCCTTAAGACATATGTATACCCTTTTACTCAAAAATTCCAGGCCTAGAAATCAGAGATGCTGCCAGAAACTTAAGTATGAGGGAGTTTATTTCGTTATTTACAATCATGAAAAACCTGAAACAACCCACATACTCAACAATAGCACAAGGATTAAGTAAGTTATGGTACATCCAAGCCATGTGATTTTATGGATTTCTTGTTTAAAAAAAAAATCACACTTTAAAAGAATATTTCAAAACGAGCAAAATGATTATAACAGTTTTGAAATGATGTGCAATGTTTAATGAAGTTATCATCCTAATTTTGTAATAAAAATTAAAATGTAGTTCTCAACATTGGTTGTAATTTTCACTCATATCCTACTTTTCTAAAGTTCTTTCTTGTTTTAAACATACCGGACACAAAAGGGGCGGAGTTTCTCCTTGTTCTATGTGCAATAAAAAGAACTGGCTTTTGTTTCTTTCCCTTTTAAGTGTGATCCTGGGTTTGAAATCACATTCTCTTTATGGTATTCAGGCTGGCTAAGAAAGGAAGGAAGGTTAGGTGAAGAATGGAAGAGAAAGGAGATGTCCAGAAACTGAACATTTCCATGAGAGAGGAGAACAACTATGATGGGAGTGAGGGTGTGAGGACAGACCAGAAAGAGTGGCTGCTGTGTTAAGAATAAGGTACTGGCATTGAGTAGTTGAGGGCAGAACATAAACACATACATAATGGTTCAGTATAAGAAATGTCACAGTGCAATACATGATTAACTGCCAAGTAAATAGCACTACAGACAATATATATTATAATAGTTTGGAGAAATTTGGTGGAGAGATCCATCATATGGTCAGATACATGTATGTGACCATGTATTATTGAAGATATTCATCTACTAAAATCTCCCTTTATCAATCTTTGTTAGAGGGTGTTATTGTATAGGGCTAGATTCTCTTGGCTTTCCTTTCTGGGGGATTTAGTTACTGGGGTATTTAGTTAGAACTTAAAGGAACTCATTTCAAAAGGATTTTAGCTGTCAAGTGAAAAAAGAAAAGAAAAGGTTATAAGAAGAATGTGCTAGAAAACAATATGAATTTAAAATACTATTTGAGAAAATTCAATCTGCACAAAAATTCACTTCATCCTTCAATTTCTCCTTTCCTTTAAAATGTACTCACATAAAAATCTGCTTTAAAAGCCAGAACCAGCCAGGAATATAGCCCAAGAAATTTACCACTAAATGGGGACACATATGTGTTTCTTAGAAAAACTGTGCCTTGCTGACTTTCTCCCTGGATTTCTTGGTTCTCTGCATCGAAGGGCATGTGGTAATTCCTTCCTTTTCTGAATTTGCTTGCTTTTACAGTTTCTTCTAACTGAATCTTAAACACCTTCCCCACACCATCGGTCTTTCATTATATATGTCTACACAGCATCAAGCGACCTTTAGCTAACACTGGAGAAATGGATCAACACCTTTACCCAACTACATCACTTAGACCCTTTGGGGGTTTTCTACTCTATTTTAATCTATTTAAACCTGACACTAGCAGATTTCCATTTCCTTTGTTCCTTGTGTAGACTTGGTTTATATGTGTTGGTCTCTAAAAAGGGACAGAGAGGAGACAGCTGTTGAGAAATGAGATTGGCAGTTTTAACCGCACAATTTGGTCTAATACCTTTGATATGCTAAACTTGCTAGCTCCTCCAAGTGTACCTTTCCGATTTTGCATAACACCACCCTGAATCCCTAAGGAAACCAGGGTTTGTTGTTTTTTTTTTTTTTTTTTAATTAAAAAGAAAAGAAAGAAATGCAAACCAGTGAAACTGTTCTTTTAAATCATCTCCACATAGATTTCATTCTACGAACTGCAGGCCTTCACAAATCCTGGTACGCTAGAGACCTTTAAAAAAGGAGAAGCCGAGAATACTGATTAGGTTCTAAAAATCGAAAACAGGTGATGTCATAATGCATAGTCCTGTGGCCACGGCCATGGCCGGGTGGGGAGCTGGGCTCCAGTGATCACTGCACAGCGCTCCATGCCAGTAGGCGATGCAAGTTATCTCCGGGGCCCGGAGGACACGAGTGAGGACCGGGCACCAATCAGGTTCTCGCTCTGCGCCTGCCTTTGTTCTCACTCGGGAGCAGGTTGCAGGCGTCTAGCATCGGGAACCCGCATTCGACTCCGACGCGCATTGCTAGCCCCTTCGGGAGACCTGGCTCCCCTACCCGCCTGTCCCCCAACACTCGGTCAGCCTGCGCTTTCCCCAATCAAGTCTGCCTTCTCTCCGCAGAACGTGGAAGCTAAAACCCTGACTCACCATTCTAAGCTTTGGAAGAGGCAGGTTTGTCCCAATAGTTTTAAACGGCAATTTGTTCTCTGAATCTTCCTTTCTGAGCAGGGCTCTGTGCTCTGCATGTATTCGAACAGCTGCCTCAGGAAGGTCTTTTGGGTGAGAAAACAAGCCCCTTTGGCCTTTTCGTGCTGGACAAGTAAAGGAACTTACATCTCTAAGATAACCGCGAGAAGGTACTTCAGAAACAGGAGGAAACCGCTAAACCAGAGGTTTTGTGTCTCTCCCCTCAAACTCGATTACTTGCATAAATATATATATAACTCAGACATTTATCCCCTATCCGCCTCTCAAGCCTCAAGTAACTGAAGTCTTTGCAAAACACGGTTCACAATAAATGATGCATAAAGTTCTTTGAGATCCCTGGATACAAAGTCCTTCATAACTGCAGGCTTCTTTACAGCTAAAGTTAGATTTTGGTGGAGAGAAAGCCTAACCACTGCCCTGAAGGAAGGAACATTTAATCCTCCCACTCCCCTCCCCCTTTCTCGAGAGATCAGGAAATATTTAGCTCAATCTTAGACTCACTAGCGAGCTCTAGCTCCCAACTATTTATCTCATTCAGCTCACCACTTTTGCAGGGACCTGGGGGGGGCGTGGCTTATCTTGGGGGTGGGGCTTGGATGGCAGTATATTTGCATACGACACACCCTCGTCCTCTTATTGGCAGAGGAGAGCAAACTGTTCCCTGCTACCCTACTACTTAGCTAACCGCCATCTCCCTTCAGTTCCGAGCCTCGGAGACAAACTTAACTTGCCCGGAGATTCAAGGCTTCCTCGGCCCCTGCGATTGGCCGGCGCGACTCCCAAGCGGGCTCTCGTTGCTCATTGGCTGCGGGCTAGCGCCTGGGGGGCGTAGCCGGAGCTGTCCGATTGGCGGGAGGGGCGGTACCGGAGCGTCGAGGTGGTGAAGGTGGTGGGGCGGCGGAGGCGGGGCCGCACTGAGGCGCTGCGGCGGCGGCGGTGGCGGTGGCGGTGGCAGCGGTGGCGGCTGCTCGTCCTAGCCTGGCGGGGGCGGGGGTCTGGAGGATGGGGGCGGGTGGAACAACGGGCCGGTGAGGAGCAGCCGCCGCCGTCTCCGCCGTCGCTGGGGCAGCTGCCGCGGTGGTCGCCTCTGGCAGTGCCGCTCGCTTTCGGGCAGTCGCCTCTCCTCCCGACATCCCGCCTTGAGGAGGCTGAGGCGGAATCGCGGGTGGCGGCGGGGGGACGGACCGGCCCCGCAGTGGCCGCAGTGACAGCCCGGACCCGGCCCTCCGCCCGCTTGCGCCTCGGCGCCCGTAGCCACGATGAACCGGGGCGGCAGCAGCCCGTCGGCCGCCGCCAACTACCTGCTCTGTACCAACTGCCGGAAAGTGCTGCGGAAGGTACGGGTTCGGCCCGGTGTCCTGCCGGCGAGGGTCGCTTCTTGCCGGCGGGGGCTTGGGTGGCTCGTCCCCGGGCGCGCACTGGGGGAGGCTCAGAGGGATCCCCGGGCACCGTCCCTCCGCAGGGACCGAAAAAAGGGGGCGTGGGTTGAGGGCGGGAGGGTTTGGACTGCTGCGGCTTTTTATTTCCGCCGGGACAGACGCAAGTCCGGAGGGGTTGGGATATTTTTTTCTTCCCTTGTTCTTTTTCTTTGGTGCCTTTGCTCTCCTTTACGGCTCATTTCCCTACCTTACTACCCCGGGTCAGCTCCTTCGGCGGCGGAGGGCGGTAGGGATCGATTCGATCCTCCTCCCTGTGCAGTTTAGCTGTTGATGGAGATCGGTGTGAAATCAGAGCAGCTGGGTCGGATCCCGAGGAACCTGGCTGGCCCCTCTTTGCTGTAGCTAACTCTTGCGAGTGTTGTTTTTGTTTATTCGGTTGCTTCTGCCTTGCGCGCCTTGCCCAACACCCCTCTTTTCAAATTGTTTGGATGGTCGTCCTGTGTCTGTAGTCTCGAAAAGGAACCAGTAAAGCATCTTGAACTTTATGCCCATGGGAAATGCAATTCGACCTGGCCAGTTCCTGAGGCTGGGGTTGGGGGAGGAGGAGACTGAGGTGGATGTGGGTTATTCCTCCTTAGCACCCCCCTCCCCCGCGTTGATCCAGAAAAATCAGGCGCACCATCAGTTTATTGCTGCTTCCTAGAGTGACTGATAGAAAGTTTACTCCAGTATTGTTTAGCTCACTTGGCTTAATCGCCCCGTGGGGAAGGACGAGAGGGATGGGGAAAGGAATGAAAAAAAGGTCTCTAGAGTTTGTGATCAGATTTTAACAGCTGCCCCAAAGTAATATTGTAATCAGTTTATTCGTATTCAAACTCTATTTTTACATTTTATTAAGTGGAAACGTTAGGTGAGATGCTTCTGTTTGTTCACTACAAATGAATTAAAATTGCTGAGCTGTGCAAATGCATCGGGACTGAAAGCGGAGATGAATATGGTACCGTTTTTAGTCAATATCTCTAAATACAGTTCACTTTGGGATTGTTCTTTCTACATTTTTTTTTAAAGGAAGAAAGAAAAAATCACGTAAGTAAGCAAGCTCAAATATTTGCGCTCTTTGTCCAAAAACTGTTTTTCTTCCTCTGTGGGTCAGGCCAAGTGCCAATCAAAGTTGTTTTTCAAGCCTCTTTTCCCTGCAGTAGGGCTGCTGCTTTTTTTTTTTTTTCTTCCTATTTTATTTGAGAGCGTGAGAGCAAAGGGATTGCAGATTTGAGGTTAATTGAACAGTTAAATATGCCTTAAATTGTGTTTATTGGATATGTTTCTCTTGAAACAGATTTTTATTAAATGTGCATGTTGAGTATGTGCAGTTATTTTTTTCCATAAACTCTAGGATCAAATTACAGTTGATACTTGCTCAGCTCATTGTAGGGTAGCTTGTGAGAAATGTAATGGATCAGAAGTGCAGATCAGCTTAGCTGAATGTTAACTCTTTCACTGCAGGGCCAGATGTCATCTGAACTTAGCTTTCAAAAAAATGTATTTCTTAATTTTTAAATTTATGTTATGTCTTTGACATGAAAAAAATGTGTAGTTTAAGACACGTTTGATTAAAGTGCAGCCTGGTTAAAATGACAGCAAGTTATGTTTTTTAATTGAATAAGGAAAAAGAGCACTGTACTGACTTTGATAAAAAAATTTTTTTAATGGCTCTGGCAATTTGTTAGGCTAATAAAATGTTTGGAGGTAATATTAGGCTTCAAAATGTATTTCATTTTTCTTTTGAGAGAGCTATGGCTATGGATCCATGACACTTTGCTAGCATTTAAGATATTACATCTTTCCTTTAGCTTTTAAGAAACTATTTCTGTTTACCTAGAAAGAACATCCTCATTTTTAGCCATTATTAAAAGAAACGTGGAAAAGGAGTATTCACATTTTCATATTTTATAATTGCTGTGCACATCTCTGCCAGTATTCCAGTTTTTAGTAACTCCAAGGTATTTAATACTGATTCATGCAGTGGCATGAAATAACTTAATGGAAATAAGATTCTTTGAGCCAGTTATAACATGACTTGGCAACATTTGCAGCTTTTTAAGAGTGCCACTTTGAAGTGCTCTTAAGAGAATCAGTATGTAGCATTTTAAATGTTTCATCATTCTTAAAATAACAGTGAAAAATTTATTTCTAATAAAGACATGTTTTTCTTGTTGATATAACTCTAAGTTAAAAGTCATCTGTAACTCTCAAAATGTGATGCTTTGAATTTATCTTATTTTCCATTTAATAAAGTGTTCAGTAATATAGCCAAGTGAGTCATAGCATTTTGAATGTTTCTTCAGTCTAATTCATAATGGAAGAATGAAACTCATGCTCATCCAGTGTGAATTACTTTTGATTTTATATTTCTATAGAATGATGGAAGAAGGGTCACCTTTATATGGGGCAGAAAGTGTTAATCTCTCAGTAAGTGGCTTAATTTGTTGCAGTGTGTTGAATTTTAGGGGAACTTCACAAGGAATGGAATTCTCCTTCAAATGAAATAATTTAGTTTAACCCAATGCCTGAATATTGAATTGTTTATTGTATGAGAATCGCATTTATTCTTAGAAGTCCATTTACAGTTTTGATTTAGTATCCTCCAAAATAAAGAGACTTATTAAAATATTGAGTGCACCTAATTTGGTAAACTTAGGTAAGTCAAAAGAATGGAGAGGTAAACCATATCCATAAATAAATGAACCATCAAAACTATCCTGAAATCCCTAACTCTTAAGTCTAACTTGCTCTATTGTCAGTGATGTAGTTCAGTAAAGTTTTTAATAAAAGAGGAAATGCTTCTATTTATTTTATAAAGTTAACGAGTTTTTAAGTTGAATCTTTTACTTGAATAAATTCAAGTGATAACTAGAAGAACATAATCTTTTAATTTGAAAAGTGATGTCAAACTGCATTGAGGAAGGTAGGTAATTATCAGTCCACTCATCTTCCAGTAAATAAAAAAAGTGGCATATTGCAATGTACTTTGGGTATTGAGCAGTTAGTGCTACTTGAATGAATAGTTTTGTCCTCTAAGTTTAGATGATCTAACATTTAAACTTTTTTAATGTAAAGATAGTTATAGTGATATATCTTTGTATTGTTATTGCACTTTTCACTTTGTTATATGATCATATATTTTGACAGCTTTTTGATGGTTTTATAAACAAAGATACTGTCAAAATGAAAAATACTAGATTGAGGGCTGGGCATGGTGGCTCATGCCTGTAATCCCAGCACTTTGGGAGGCCGAGGTGTGCGGATCACGAGGTCGAGAGATCGAGACCATCCTGGCCAACATGGTGAAACCTGTCTCTACTAAAAATACAAAAATTAGCTGGTCGTCGTAGCATGTGCCTGTAGTCCCAGTTACTCAGGAGGCTAAGGCAGGAGAATCCCTTGAACCTGGGAGGCGGAGTTTGCGATGAGCCAAGGTCACACCACTGCACTCCAGCTTGAGCAACAAGAGCAAAACTCTGTCTCAAAAAAAAAGAAAAAAAAAGAAAAATAGTAGATTGAACTATATGGGCCTCATTTTTATAGTCAAAATTGTTAAGTAATAGCAACTTTATATGGTTTAGCCAATAAAAGGTATTTGCTTTATCTGTGGACCACTAGTTACATTATGCCTTGGTTAATCAGTTTTCTTGTGTTACATATTTTTGATTGTCAAAGGCAGTTTTTAACTTGGTTATTTTAAATATCCTAAGCAGAGATCAAGTAGTAAATTCGTGATGGCAAACCTTTATGCAATGGTTTTTAAACTGCTTCGTATGGACCCTTAAGATTCTTTGGGGTTTTAAAATGCTTGAGTTGCATTAAATTTTTAAGTATGTTTTAACTTATTTTAAAATTGTAATTTAAAAATATGGGTACCCCCAAATATGTACACATAATTTGAATACACTGGAATCTACCACCATTATCTTTCATTACAAAATTATTCTTGTGCAGGTCTTGAATTTTTTTTTGTTGCTGTGTCATGTATGAGAAAGATTGTCATTGATTGTGAAGGCACTGGCTTA